GGCAGATTTTATATGTGAATTCCTTATTTTTAAAAGTATCTTTTTCTAAGTACTTCTTAGATGCGTCCCAGTTGATTTTGGTTTTTTTCAGAACTTAATTGTTGGATGCAACCATGGACATAAATTTTCTTTAATAATAGACTACATTCCCATTTTAACATACACACTTCTGAAAATGAGGAAAGTGTAAATGTTTACTGGAATTTCTTCTACACTTCCAAAAGAATCATTCTTACTGAAAGATCACAGGTTGAATATAAGTTAGGAAACCTAGGACAGGTTTAAAGCTCCTATGGGCACAAGCTTTGCCCATGTCTTGATATTAAATATCTTGCCTGACTTTCCATGCTTTTGTTTCCCCACCAGGCAATGGTGTCCCAGTTTGGATAAGTATGGGAACCAGGCTCACATGGTGACATGAACCTGTGTATCAGTTTAGACACAGCCGTAATAAATTGGGAGCCTCCTTGCCTGGCATGCACTTCACCTAGGTAATGAGGATGTGTGTACTGTTCCAATTATTTTGAAAAAGAAATTAAAAGAGGGAAAGAAAGAACAACTGAAACACTTCATATTTTTCAGTTATAATGAGGAGAGCAGAAAAACTTTAAAAGGTAAATTTATCATGCTTGGACATAATGGAGAAAAATAATCAAAAATTGATTTTTTCCTATAGGACAACATGAATATTATTATGCAGGGGGAATATTAGGTAATGACAAAGTACATAATTAGAGGTGAGGTGTTGGGACAAGAATAGGTAAGTGGTCCCAAAGCTGTTGTGGATTTCAATGATCTGTGCTGGTTTTAGGAATCAGTGGTGTTTGACTACATAATTATTGGTTATTTAAAAAAAGGATACTTAAATTATTTTTGCTAGAGATTTCACAGCTTTTCACCTCTTAGAAGCTCCCTGACACCATCCAGAGGAGCACTAAGATGACTTTCCTCTGAATGAATATAATTACCTTCCTTCTCATGCTGTTGGTGTGCTTTCCAAATGCTTTTTTGCCAGTTGTGTTCATGACATTTTACTTCTACTTGGGGGTGGGGAGGGAGAGTTGAGCAGCAGGGAGAAAGAACTTTTTTTAAATAGCAGAGCTTTTAGTCCCTGATTAAAACATTTGGAAAAAATCTGCAGAGGGAATAGCACAGGAGGAGTTCCTTTCCACTTCTCAATTCCCTCAGCAACTCATTTTCGTCACACTCCCATGTGTTTTTTCCATGAGACAGAGCAATTGCCAGCCATTGTGTGTAAGGTACTGTGGGATCAGAGGTACTTAGTTATGGTATGCCGGGGTATTAATGGGCATTAAAATACCTGAAATTTGCTGAATGCTCTCAGATTTGATATCTGTCCTTATCTACATGAACAGTTGGTTTATGCGATTTTCTGGATGTTATGTCCCAGTAGCTACAGCACATTATATCTTGAATTACAGAACATTTCTTTACTGTTCCCTGTTTCCTTGCTATCCACCTCCACATGACTCCCAGGTTAGTTTATGTGGTTGTTACACAGTAAAAATGTACCATAGCCTTCATCTGACCAAGATAAATTATAATTATGTGCAGTACTGCAACCCACTGAAGAATAACATTTTGGAGGAGTTATCATCTTGAGCCAATATTTAAAAAGACCCAAATATTGCAACAAAAACCTTAGAGAAAAACCGGACCAGTTATTTCAGCCTTTGCCTGCATTTGGTCATTTGCAAGTGAGAGAAGAGGTGAGATGAGGAACCCCTGAAAGGCTGAAAAGGCTTTGGAAGATCAAAAAGTGGGGGAGAAATTGGAGGCAACATGCTGAGCCACCATGTGGAGGCAGATGAACTGAAGCAAAGAGATCATAGTAGTGATTTTTAAAGAACAAATGAGAGAGATATTTTCTATTCTAAGAAATCTTGACCTGCTAATGGGAAGCCATCTCCTTCTTCACACAATTCCCAAGAGCAGGAAGATTGCTGCATTTGGTAAAAAACTCTCACAAAACCCCATCTGCTCCAGTACCCTATTCTGTAAACTATCAAAATGTTCCCACTAAATTCATTTTATGTCTCCCTCTTCCTGTAACTAGGAGAAACAGTGAATAACTGATCTCTGTCCACTAGGTCCATGTGACTCAAAGTTTATAGACACCGTTTATAGACACATCTTAGAGCCTAAATTGTTTCTACTTGAGACCAAAGAGTTCTAGTTTATTTGGTTACTTCAGGACCTTAAACCATTCCCATGTATTTGGTTATCCTTGTTGATCCTGTGTGAACTTTTGGTAATTGCCTCCAGAAAAATCCCCTTGAATATTCCACATCTACTCTGTCCAAACCCTGATGTGTGTGCCTCCCATTTATCCACTTCCCCTGGAACCTTTGGACAGAACATACAAATGCAGGAAGGAAAAAAGTATGTGTGAGTATAGTTTTGAATTTGCTGTAGGGTGACTGATCAGTGGTGTCTTCTAGAGAGCTCCTCTTGGGTTCCTTTAGGCTGAACCCCTGCTTATTGTGTGAGGCAGAAGGCAAATACAACTGTCCCTCAGTCTTTCCAAGAGCTCTGAGTGTTTCTTCCTCTTTGCTGAGACTCCCCAAATACTTGCTGACTTCCCAAAGGTATTAGAACACATTTACTTAAAGATGTGCCCATATGGCATCCCTGGCCTGCTTGACACAGTTTGGAGAAACGTGCACTTCCAGTTAGTTCCTTGTCTTGGGTCTGAGTCCTCAACTAAAGAGTTGCAATTACATGTGTCTCCAAGTGCTGACCTAAGTTTATGAGAAACATTTCCATTGCTTTTTTTTTCTTTTTTCCTCTCATTCTTTTGCCCTAATTATACTAATGCCTTTTCCCTTCATGGTACAGCTTCTGACACAATAGAAATTACTACGATTCATAGATGGTTCTTGGCACAAACAGAAGTCAGTTTGTTGGGACACCCCTTTTCATGGTGAACATTAGCAAACCATTCACCTCCTAATTGGCCTACTAAAAAAACCCTACCAAATTTTTTTCCCCTTGAGTGACAGTCAGGTTCAGTAGTAATGGTAATACTTGCTCAACTGATTCTAATCAATGGCGCACAGAGAAGAATTTAAATTATCCTGCCGAGGACACTGTGGTGATGACACATGGACAAGATATATTTGTAATCCTGTAGAAACCTCCATGCCATTTCAAATTAACTTTCCATCATCTTTTATTGACACAAATAATGCCAGGATAGTAGAAATGGAAAATATTAGTAGAGGGGGGAAAATATTAGTAGAATAGGAAAAATATTAGCTTGTTTTTCCAGTTTGTGTTACACATGTGGTACACATTCTGGTTTCTGCTTCAAATATTGACCACATTTTCAGCAAGGCTTGTAAATGTATCTTGGCCCCCTACTACAATTGCCTGTTGACTAAGAGTTCTTATAATTAACTCTTTTTTTTTGTTTGTTTTTTTTTTTCCAGGCCGTGATTTTCTCGTCCAACTTTTGGAAGCTGATGAGAAGTCTCATTTTTTTGGACTAGAGTCTATGCAAAAGCTTCTAAAACAGACATCAACAAAGGGGAATTTGGATGGGTCTTTCACAAGTCACCTTGGGAGTACAAAATTCTGGAACAAGAAAATTATTCTTGAAACTTTGAACAAAATTGTTGAGTTACATTAATGAGCAGACGTACAATAATTGAATTTTTTTATGCATGTTATTCTATTTGAACCAACTTGATTATAGTTGATGATGTCACTTAAACCTAGAGGATAGTAAAATGTGTATTTTGACATTTAGTCAGAAGTAGTAGATTACTTATGTGATTAATATTCAGAAAAATGTAAGCACCAGCCCTGACAATGTGCTATTCATCTCCATGTCATCTGGAAACAAACTGAATGCTATCTTGAATTTAAATTCAAGACCATAGGGACCATGCCTGGGCTGTGGGCTCCAGACAGAGAGAACAGAGCTGTTGCACAAAACTTACAGCAGGACCCTGGCTTTTGAGAACTGTTCAGTTTTCTGTCCTGCTGCTTTTTGGCACTGTCAGGAGCATTCTTGACTGTGGTGGCCTGTTTGATTTCGCAGTGCAGACAGATACTGGAACGTGAGGAACTGAACAGAGATGGCTAAACAGCTGTCAAGTGTTTAACTATTTTCTATCACTAATAGTGACTCAGGGGTGAATAGTTTCATATCACATTACCAAATCCTTGAAGCTTAGGGAATGTTTTTTTAAACTTCATTTAGAAGGGGAATTCCTATGCCTGGCTTGGCTACTCCAATAAAATAAGAAGAATAATACAGCTCTTACTTCCACAGAGAGGTATGCTTTTCCTGATGAATTTGCTGGTCACTTTGAAAGAATTTTATATTGTATATTGACACATGCCACTGGCTTGTAATGCTAATATTTGAATGTCTTTTCATTTGCATCATAAACATTATGTTAAATACTTACTAAAAACAAAGTCTTTAAACTGGGCAGAGAACATACACTTTGGAGGCAAGTTCACTTTTTACTACTACTTAGTTCAATCTTTCCCTTTGTAACACAAATTTGAACTGCCGTTGGAACAAAAAAGAAAAGTCTAGTTTGAAATGCACGTGGAAGTTTTAGTCTCCACTTGCTTACAGTAGAGTCCCCTTACTGCTTGAACTTCTTATGCATTCTCTGAGTGCACACTGCTCAACTTTTTAGAAACAATTTACGGCTCTCGTATAATTGTATCCTAAAGGAAACACAGATCTTCATTCATTTCAGAGCACGGTGGAACCTCAAAACCCTGTATTTCCCCCCAGTATAATCACCATTCCCTTTTCCACACGGACACAAACTTTTTTCATTTTCCCCCAGCGCAGCATCCTTCCTTTGGCTTCTTGGTTTTTCAAGAACCACACGCTACAACCGCCAGCACACAAGCCCGGGGCCAGCTCGGCGGCGGGAGGGGCGCCGGACCCGCAGCCAGCGGCCGGCGGAGCGGAGGGAGCGCGGCCGCGGCGCTGCGCGGAGCGGACTTACCCGGCGTAGCGGCCGCGGTGGCCGCGGAGCGGGAGCGCAGCCTGGAGGCAGAGCAGACAAAGGGGCAGGAGCCTGCGGAGCGGCATCGTGAGGGGCCGCGCCGGCATCCCCAGCACCCCCGGCACCGACACCCCCGGCACCGGCACCCCGGCACCGGCACCCCCGGTACCGGCACGGCCGCCAGGTGCGGCTGGTGCCGCGCACACAAAGCCGGGGCCGGAGCCGCGAGGAGCGGGGCGCCCGGAGGTGTCGCTGGTGGCCAGCGGCGAGGGCAGAACGCCGGGGGAGCTCGCCCGTCGGCCGCCGCCCCGCCGCGCCCGGGCACGGGGATGGGGACGGGGATGGGGATGGGGACGGGGCTGCGGCGAGCAGCCCCGCGGGCACGGCGGGACAGGGATGCGGCTGCAGGTGCGGTCCGGCCGCTTAACGCGCGGTCAGCGGCATCGGGGGATTATGGATGAGGTTTCGCCGGCTGGGCAAGAGCTGAGGTTGATGAGAGCGCAGGGACACACTTCCGTGAAACAAAGAGTGTAGAGAGTCTATTAGGGGCCATAAAGGCGGGAGAAGGTGGGATTTCAGTTTACTGCTGTGGTCAAAGTCTTGTGTCTGAGTAGTGAGAATGGAAGAGACACTGATAAAATAGAATTAATTAAAAGCTCAGCATGTTTTTAACTTTTGCTGTCTCTTCCACACTGGTGAGGATGAAGATCCATGTAAAGAAAGCCATTAGAACACTGAGAATAACAAGGAATATGGGGAGAAATTTACTGCAAATAATTATAGTTTTTAGAAAACACATGGAGTACCTATTAAAGAAAGTATGGGTAAAAATATAATGCAAATAAATAAATATCCAATAAGTGGATAGCCCCTTTGATACCTTTATGTAGAATTTACTGAAAAGGAGCAAAAAGTGTTTCAAACACAACTGATTCTCAGCCTCTCTGACAGCAAAATGAACATGTGGGCTGCAGACAAATAAAACCAGCTGACATTTGAACGTGTGAGAACGACTCTAAATCCCTGTTAATGTTTCAGAAACACAGGGAGCCTTTTGAAAAAGGACGGTATTAAACCACACACACTTTTTATTCTCTGGCTGAAAGGCAAACAAGCATTTTCCTTTGTCTCTTTTTCATACTGGCAGCAAATCTGACAGTAGTTGTGTGATAGAGTCTGGAGGTGGAAAAGACTTTGTCCAAGGCAGGATTATTCTCTTTGGTCTAGTTATTGGTGTCCTCTCTCTTGAGCTTCCCATCCCCCCACAACATGCCCCACTTAAAATCTCAAATTTATTTCTGATGAGATTATGCAGAGGTGAATGTGTGTGTGTGTGTGCTTACATGCTGTACGTCTCTTGTTGAATACACTTTCCATTAACTACAGGCAAGCCCCCAAATCTGTTCTGTGACTCTTCAGTCTTATAATAAATGCAACTTCAACCTTACAAACATCTATTTAATAAAAAGCTCTGCTTGCTGTGCAGAACTGACTTCAAAGGTAGAGTTGAGCAACTGACTTTTGGAGGGCGTGAGTATGATATTAAAGCAAAATCCACTGTTTTATTGCACATTTGTTTTTCTTACTGTGTATCCTTGCTACACCTGAAGTGCATTGGTAATGCACTGAAAAAATGCATTTTGGCTATTATTCTAAAGTATTTGTTTTCCAGATGAAAACCTGACTCTGTTGGAGTTAGTGAGAATTTTACTTTTGGCATCTGATTGTAGAATAGTTTGGCTATTATTCTAAAAACTTTGCTTTCAAGAGGAAAACTTGGCTCCATTTGTATTAGAGAGAATGTAACTATGGGCTTCTGTGGTTCTAGTTTTCAGTCTTAAATCCTGCCTTCCTGCATCATTCTCTGAAAGTAAAATGCAAGCAGGTATGAAATGGAAAGGCAATTCAAGCACCAAAACCAAACAGTGAAGGGAAGTAACACAATGGGAAGGAAAGACTCAAAAATAGTTGTAGCTACCTTTGTTAATATGTACTACTTCTGACAGTTTAAAATACATTTAAAATGTCATTTTAAAGTACAGCTTTAGAGCTGTGGAGAAGCTGGAGATAGAAACAGCTCAAAAATATTGAAAAGGACTTTAAGGGAGATAGGGATAGTGAGGTGGATACATGTGTGTTGGTGTCTCTTTGATCCATCAGTTTAAATTGTACTATGCTACAGGGCATACTGGAGGGAGGGCTGGAATTCTGTCATGCTGGCAGCTAGGGAAGGATTAAAACACTGTAGTCAAGCCTGGAAGTTACACACGTGGTAAGTCTACTTTCCTGACAAAATGGGGCTATCAAACTTGCACCCAGCTAAGCAAAGGATTTGAGACAAAGAAAATCAGAGTTTCTTTTCCTTCTCTTATTGAAACAGAAATTGCAAACACCAAGGGCAGCTTGGTAGTGATAACAGCTTTGGATGGAACAGAGGAGAGCAGACTGAGATATGGTTTCCCTCTTAATGAATCAAGTTGTGGGATTTATCACAGCGTCCTACACTTTACAAGGAACACAGGCTGCTGAAACAGAGTCAATTCTACACAGTGTGGAAACAAGAAAGCTTCATTTAAAGTGAGCGGGCAGGCAGCCTACATTTGGTAGGTTGGCACCTAGACTTTAGAACATGCCACTTATTGGGAAGAACAGAAAAAAGGCATTAGCTTCTTATGAGCATATTTTATACCTTTGAGTTGTCCCAGCTCTCGCCTTCATTAGAAGGTTGCATTGGCTTCAATAGACAAACCTTGCTGCACATTTGTTAGAGACATAACAGTTCAGAAACAGGAGTTTAAAAGAGCTTTACATTTTCTAGTGTAAATTATACTCATTAATGAGAAACTAGACTAAGAATATTCATGCTGGCATTTTCTCTGTAATAACTCATTAAAAAATATTGAAGTTGATTGAGTGCAATGTCCTTTTCAAGATCTGGTCTCCATTTCTTTTAACTCCCACAGAGAACTTGTCAGATGAAGGACAGTGAAAGTGGCCCTGCTGATTATGTTCTGGATTAGGTTTGTGGTTTAAAAGACTGAACGTGATATAATCCATGCCTGAGTGCCATGGCTGGTTAGCCTTAACCAACCACTCTGTGTAGCCTGGAGTGTTACAGTAGCACAGAGAGCTGATTACATGAGAACTTCCCACTCCTAGGGGTTGGTTATTCAGGTTGTGCTGGGATTTGCACTATGAGAGACAGGCTGCTGTTAGTACCTGAGACAATGAGCTGGTGCTTGACCTTACATTGGAAGGTATTCAGATGTAATTTTTCTTACTAAAATGAAGTACAAGTATTTTTAGAAGGGATGGACTTGCAATGAAGAATCTTGACATTCAGTCTTCAACTTGCTTGGAGATGCTGCATGACCATAACTGAAAAATTTTATTTGAATTTGTGTCAATGGAACTGAACTTTTATAAAATGGTTAAATTAAGTGAAAGAATGAAACAATTGCACTTAGAGAATTTCTGTCTACTGCTATTATTCTGCTATTCTGCAGGAGGACAGGAATACAGGTTAAATATTCTTTTTTGTTTTGTAGAATCGAGGGACATTTAAATATGGGTTTGTTTTAGAAGCAGCTTAAGGAAAATAGGTGTATAATAGACAATTAATCAACAGATCAACCCTCCATAGAAGCCTTTAGGAACCATACTGATAAATAACATCAGAGCACAGATTACAATCCTGGTAAGTCCATTCTCTAGTATACTTTTAGTCTTGGAAAGACTGCTATACTTTTGTTCATAGGTTTCTTTATATATATGGAATTCTTAGAGCTAACCATAGGAGAAAAAAAAAATCTTTAAAATGCTCTGCTGCAGGCACCCTTGCGAGGAAAAGCTTGTTCTGTCTTGAGAATCTGCCTTAAGACACATATGGCAACATGGCTTCAAACTTTTTGGCCAAGCGTTGTGGAAAAAAAAGCATTGCTCATGACAAATAAGCAGTGTATATAACTGGATAAACAAATTCCAGTGTCTAGACTTTATCTCAGATCTCTCTACCCTTGCTAACACACATAAAGAAGCAATCTAAAAATATTCCCCATATTGAACTTACAGAATTTTTATTTGAGTGAAAATACAGTCTTTTATTAGGCAAGATATTCCACTATCTTTTCTGTTCTGATGAAAATTTTGTGCTGGAGAAATATGAGAATGGCAATTTAAAAATTTCTTGTGCCTCCTACACAAATCATGTGTATTTACTTTCTGCACAAATGATTTGTGTGTAGTAACACATTGCACATTTCTCCACCCTTCTCTGAACTTCTGTACTTTACAGTAGTGAAGACCTCAGCCTTCCTCTGACTTCATGTAACCAGTATTTTGGAGTGGTTTTGCAGGTGGGCATGCTAAGATATAGGGAAGCTGGATAATTTGTCCCAAGAGTAAGAGCAAGTCTTTAGCAACTCTAAGTCTAGCATATGGATTTCATGACTATAACCACTCAAACATATGGAATTTGTGAATTTGTATTTGATTGTACTTGTAATTTAAAAGCCAAACATTTTAGTTCCCAGAGTCCCAAACTCGTCTTAGTATACTTGGGCTTAACTGCAATCTCACTTTTGCTCCAAGGATAGGTGACATACTCCCAAGGAAAGATTTTATGTCATAAAATCATAGAATAATAGAATCATTGAGGTTGGAAAAGACCATTGAGGTTGGAAAAAATCAACAAGTCCAACCATCAATTGAGCATTTCCAACTCCATTGTAGGTTCAATATCTAGTTTTAAAATACACATTATTTGCAATAATTTGAGACCCAGTAATTAGTTTTTACAATGCTGAGAAGAAAGAAAAATGATAACAATATTTATTTTGAAACACTGTTAGAAATCTTCCAAATCAGCACTGCTTTAGAGCAGCTACTGCCCACAAAAGATGGCAGGTGCTCAATATTTATTTCTAACAATTGGCATTTGCCATATATACACGTGTGAAACTATTGAGAAGGAAAGGGTACTTCTGAAAGAGTACATTCAGTACAATGGTGTTTTGTGTGACTCCCCAGACGAGTCCTGGCTGCAGACATTCTGCAGTGAACTATTATTACATCTTCTGGGAGGAAAGGGAACATTACATAGAGTATCGTACTGGA